CTCAATGAGAATAAGGAAGCAATGCTTGAGTTAAAAAAATCTCACCCTGGTGCCAAAATTGATTATATACCTGTGGATTTGACGAAAAAAGAGAGCATCACAGCAGCCTTTAAATCAGCTGTGGAGAAAATGGRTCACTTTGACGTTCTGGTCAACGGTTGYGGTATATGTATGGATAGTGAAGTTGACCTAACAATCCAAATTAACTTGGTAAAATATGCTGTTATAACATTGTTTGAAGTATTGCGAGGGTTAAGTTGTTTTCAATTTCCTCTTTCTAGTTGGGGTTAATCCATAGCACCTTCACTGCGCTGCCTTACATGGATAAATCCCATGGTGGTCGTGGTGGTACTATTTTGAATATCTCATCCACCTSTGGCTTGGATGCAACTCCTTTATTAGCAATTTATTCGGCATCCAAACATGGTGTTACAGCTTTTACGCGCTGCATGGGGGTTTGTATTGAAATTGAATTATATTTTAAACAAATAATGTACTAATTTATTCTCTTCAATTTACTGAAGGACCAAATTTATTTCGATCACTTCGGAGTTAGATTCCTAGCTATATGTCCTGGATTTACCAAAACCAACATTACAAATAATATTCATTCAAGTACTACCTTTAAGTTTTGCCAAGAAAAAGCTCAACGGTATCATAATGCCAAACAACAGTCTGCTGAGGAGTGTGGAAAGAATATGATTAAAGTAATTGAAACTGGTAAAAACGGTGGTGTCTWTTTGCTAGATTTAGGCAACATTGAGGAAATTCCATATCAAAGGAAGTGGGTAGTTACTTATGAGACACAATAAGAGGTTGCAAACAAAAAATGATAAAATAAATATAATTTCAATTGATGTAATTTTGAATTGACTTTCTTTGAAAATTTTATTCAATAAAGAAGTTTGGTAAACCATTGCAGTCATTTCAAAAAGTTTTTGCAAACTATTCTCRGCTATCTCACATCCATGTGTATGTACATACATACGTATATACCACCACTTTTTCTTTTGATATGAAAAATCTGGAAAATTTGTTCGGGGATTGTAGATACTGGAGGAGCGTCAAGAGTATTATAGAGCCTTTGATTAAATTGCTGCTTAAATTTGCAAACAGAAGTACAAGCCACTTCAACGAATCTTCAATAAAAATGCTCACTCATTAAAATGTACAATCATTTAATATAATRTTTATTAAACTCTTACAAAAAATATTAATTTATATTAATTAATGTACGACGTAGGTATGTATATGTACGGAGCGGGGTGGATATAAGTTGCATCACGGACTGCTGAGTTAAGGAAGAGGTATTTACKTGGCGCCGCATAGAATAGAACGTATAAAGCGAATGCGTTTCAGCGATGAGTGTGTGACGAATTGTGTCCGCTTTTCTTTTGCCCATCCTTTCTGTTGAGTGGGTTGAATGATGTAGAAGTGTGGTGAGTTGTGTTGAGTGGTAATGTATTAGTATGGTRTCATCAGAAATGGTGTATTGAGCAGTACTTTATTAGTGTGTGCCAGTTTTTCCGGGTAGTGTCATAGATCTGAATATTAGAATAGGGAGCGTAAACTGTTAAAGGCCCACCAAGCCTGTGTCAATGGCAGGTCGGTCAATACTGCTTTCAWCAATGACGTTTCAGCCAAGACGCGAATGCGATAACTGGTTGCTTAATGACAGGAGATATTTCGCCCTTGTCCATATCTGGTCTGGAGAAACCAGAACTAACGRTRCAATTATTGAGGCCAATGATATCGATATCATCGGCGTACGCCAGCAACTGTACAGCCTTTCTGTAAGGCATGTGTGTATCTTCTGTGTTTGACCCTGCAGCTCGTATTTTTTCTCTAGCAATAGATTAAAAACTTCACTTGGTATCAAAAGCACCGGAGAAGTYCTTACCGATCCTCGCGGAGCTTTTGGTATTACTGGGTGTAATGAGTTGCAGTCATGCTTTTAGATAAGTCCTACTAGGAGAAGAGGTGCAGTGTGCTTTTTCWYTAATGGATCGAAGCTAGATGAGCAACTAGAGGGGGGAGTTTTTTGCAGGGAGCTCTACGTCAATCTTACCGTTAAACTATCGGATAACTGTATTATTTTTCACTCAAAAGGGGATGTTATGAAGTGCAGCCTCTTTGAGGTAGGTGAGTATATACTCTGATAGCAGATCGCCAATAAGCTCGCTAATGGTGCGTTCAAAGCTAGTCGAGCAGTGTCTATCCTCACTAGAAATAGCTTCAAACTACTTCATCATCAGGCTCGTTTAGGTGTCTGGTCAGAGGGGAATCGCTGGMAACTGCAAAGATGATGAGCTAGCCAGAAGGACAACGTTACCCCGCTTACATCGGCATGGACATGTTCCTTTACGAGTGTGAAGTCTATCTGGCCTAGAGTAGAACGAAAGAGATCTTGCCATCCAAAAGCAATTCATTGCCAAAAGTAGTCATAGTTAAAAAAGTGAAAAGTGAGGTGGAAATATTCGGGCAATTTCCCAACTGGTACCCAACCGGTTATCAATACAATCAACCAATTATACCAAATTCCTCCAAGAAGTGCCCCTTATATTTTGTTATATCATTGCCATGCATTTCCAAATCGATGCCTTACCAATACAAACTCATATCTGAAGCCAATTTTGAGTACCTAGCACATATGTACATATATGGCCCTACTAAAATTAATCCATATAATTTTTAAATAATCCTAATCATCAAAAGGCGTGTATATAAATTTGATAGATTGGCTTGATGACGAGTTTCCGAAGACTGCCCAAAAAAATCTATGCTAAGTTTAGACGTGGTGAAATRAGAACCGAAGACGATGAAGGCAGTGGACTCCCAAAAGAAGTTATAACCGACGAAGACATCAAAAAAGTAAGTTGTTCCAGTCAAGTGAAGTTGTTCGAGATAGCAGGCACTCTATAGATATTAACTGAACGGATACATATATCATATCAGTCACGAATATTTGAGTATGAGAAAGTTATGTGCAGAGTGGGTGCCGCACGAGCTCACGTTTGGCCAAACGAGTTGACGATTCGGAGCAGTGATTGGCTATGTTCAAGCTTAATCAATCYGAATTTTTGCGTAAATATGTGACAATGATTGAAACATGGCTCCAACGTTTCACTGTGAAGTCCAATCGGCAGTCACCCAAGTGCATTGATGAGCCCGCTCCAGAGTGTGAAAAAATGCAAAAATTGGCTAGCCTGGTTATGACGTCTGTATTTTTGGATGCGYATGGAATAATATTGATTGACTACCTTGAAAAAGAAAGGACTATCAACAGCGACTACAACGTATTGTTATTGGTTCAAAATCACCGAAAAACGGCCGCACTTGAAGAAACAAAAMGTGATGTTTCACCAAGCCAATGTATCGTGTCATAAGTTTTTAAAAACTATGGTAAAAATCACTGAACTGAAATGGTTCCGCATTCACCGTATTATCCATATCTAGCCACWGCTACTATTATATCTACTCTCAGATCTCAAACGACTGCTCGGTTGAAAGAAAATTTCATCAATTGAAGAGGTAATCACCAAAACTGTGGCCTATTTGGAGACAAAGGACAAATCGTACTACAATAATGGTATTAAAAATTTTGAGGGTTGCTGTAATCAGTGTGTCACCCCCTAGGGGTTCTTGATTAAAAAAAGCAATTTCGCGAAGAAAATGTGTTTTACTATAATAGGCCGAGGACTTTTCAATTGACTTGTTAAGTATATAGATATCAGTTGATTTGCAGAACACCTTAATTTAAATAGTTTGGTTTGTAAAAGCAAAAGCACATCAATTTCATTCGGTTTCTGGATTATGCCCGAATATATACTACCTTACACATAATGATTTTCGTTATTYTAGTAGAATTTATGCCAAATATATCCGTCATTGTGTGATTATCTTAATACAATTTRTAGAACTATTCTCCAACATTTTGGTTGATTTTGTATGAATATTGATATGTGGGAAGTAGGCGTGGAAGTTGTTCGGTATTTTTTTACAATGTAATATAATATATGAATGTTGAGAYAACGTTAAGAATCAAATTTGATTGATTTTGGTTGAATAGTGCCTGAGATATCAAATTTTATCTGAAAGTGGGCGATGGCACTCACGTGAACCCAATTTTTATAATGAATCTTATACATTTCTTCTCTGTTATATGAGGAGTGGTCGTGGTTATCATTGAAATCCATCCAACTTCGAAAAGTACGAGTAGATGTAAGAAAGAATTATTTCAAGCAAATTTGAAGTATAAATATACCGAACAGAATTCAAAATCACTTAACCCAAAGTATTGAATGGAATTTCTATTTTCGACATAATCCACCCAATTTTGTAATGCTAACCTTAAAAATATCCATATAAACTGTATTTAGCGATTCAAAACTCCATYKCTGAATTAAGTAACCTAAGAAAAARGCAGTGTCAAATGCACCCTCGTTCATGTAAAGCATTGTCTAGAGTTTAGAGTAGAGTAAGGTACAAAAACAGTGAATATGACTAAAATTTTTTATATTAAACTACATTGCTCTGCTAAAATCGATATTCGTACRATATAAAGTTAATTAAATAGCTGACAAAACATGATCACTTCATTTTCTTAAAATATTCTTTAAACTGAAAAGATTATACGATCGGAAAATGTAGTAAGATCATTTGCCGATCATTAATGCTACATATATATCTGGTCATTACTTAGCTTTCAGTATTTTTGAACCAGATAGGCATCGCTATAACCCATTTTTATCTATTGACGTATAGTATGTGGGAGTGGTATACCATGTTCCTACAAGTTTAGTTGCAACTTCAACATATTGTTACATGGTAAGAGTATAACAATTTCGTATCACCTAAAATTAATCGAGATAGATATGGAGTCGAAAGGCATTGCTTTACAGACAAACGCAACGCTGTTTTTCGAAAAAATTTGTAATTTTAAAAGTAATCGTGCTTTCACATTTCTTAGGCCGAAATAATCTTTCGAAATGGTTTTCACTGATCCTTCCGATATTCCAACGATTTYAGTAGGATCTTTGGCTATTAATCGTTTCTCAAGCATCATTTCCTTTATCTGATTGACGTGTTGATCAAGTGTTGATGTTGATAGCCGTCTTGGACTTGGTTCGTCRTCAACACGTTGTCGACTCTCTTTGAATAACTCCATTCAAAACACTTGCTCGCGACAAATACATATTTTCTATAATTACAACCTTTTCGCAATAGACGCTGCCTACACTTAGGAAAACGAAAATGTTATCTTTTWAACGTACTGTATTCTCAGCAAAACAATTGAGAACAACTTTCTTTTAAGCTCGTACCTTAACACTTACAATTGATGAATGCCCTTTAAAAGATAATAAATTACAAATATACATATGTTTATTTATATCATAATAACAAATGAAACAAGGAACATGTCTTATCAGTTCGATGATAAGCGAACGCATTCCCTCCCTTTTTATTTACCGAAGCTTCCATTTTCCGTTTAGGGCAAGCAAAACCAATAGGAGGTTTTATATGCGAAATCGTAATCGTTTAAGAATACTTAAGAGAGGAACATTTTGTTTAGAATGTGTAGTTCTGCAGCAGTCGTCGTACTAAACAGACATTCAGTAAGCAAGTAAGCAGACGGAAATATTTTGATTTCGTTTAGTATTCAAAAGTGCCGTTGATTTAGTAAACCAAATATGGATTTGAAAGGTAAAAATGTGATTTATGAAGGTGGCTTTGGAGGCATTGGACAGCGTTGTTTGAGGGAATTTCTCGCCAAAGGTGTAAAGGTAAATTTGCAAAGTAAAATATTAGTTTCCCTAAAAGAAACTTCATATACAAATATTTTTATAATTTTTTTTTAAGAACCTGGTAA